TTTTAAAAGATATACAACGAAAATCGCGATTCAAAATTATTAGTTTGTTTATTAGTTATTCCTCTCTTGTTGAAACTGTAAGATCTAATTGATTTTTATTATTAGAGAATTATTGGCAGAAACTATCTATGTAAATATATATATATATATATATATATATATATATATATATATATATATATAATCCTAACAACGATCAATGACTGAAATGTGGAAAAATATAAAACTTAACTAAATGTACACAACTCTTGCGCATCTTTATATACTCTCTCTCTCTCTCTCTCTCTCTCTCTCTATCTCGCACACAAGCGCATACACGCGCACACATCCACCTCCCTTTGCATTCTTTCACTATATTTTAACGTCGATCTCAATTGTTTGTCTATTTCATACTCACACGCACTCAAAAACACATTGGTATATCATTATCATTATCATTATTTGTTGTTTTTTTTGTCGCTTGCTTAACTATCATCATTTTTTTTTTCTTGATCGTTTCTCTCTTCAAATTTACATAAAGTACAAACTTATGAAAACGGGGAAAATCGTAAAACAGTTATACAACGTAGTCAGTGTGTATTCTTATATAGCGATGCTTTATAGGGAGGTATTATCATCGTAAGTATATTAAATCAATCTCCGCCTTTTCTCTCGGTGCTTCGTGGTGGTATCGTATCGTCGTCGCCTTCCACTTCGTTCTTAAATTAAATGTTTTCTTTCTTTGTTTTTATCTTTCTGTCACCATTGGGTGTCCAATTTTAAAGTTGGTTAATGTAGCACTCGTGCACGCACAGTAACGTTTATTTTATTTTCACGTCGGCCAAGCGATTAGCGAATTGTTGCAGGTGCTGACGTTTCCAAGTCGCATTGGCGAAAGTAAGGAGGCGCCGCCATTGTCAACGTAATCGTCACTGTCGTTGTCGTCGTCGTCGTCGTCGTCGTCGTCGTCGTCGTCACTGTCGTCGTCGTCATTATCATGGTCATCGAGGCTCGCAACGTATCTAGAAATAAGAGGAGAGAGGAGAAAGAAAAGTCGCGACACGGCAGTAGTTAATTGCGTCTCGCGTACAGCTCTATTCGTCGTCGCTCCGTTATCTTGGTCTCATTTATTATCAATCGTCAATATACATTAAATCATTGTTACAAATTCCTAGTTTCGTGTATCCTCTTATTAAACTACTATTTGACTGTATATATATATATATATTAACACTTTTTTCCGCGAGTTAGTCTTTCGCCTTCGTAAGAGGCTTTTAACAACAAGAGCTTCCCTTTCGTCGCGCACTCAAACCCCTCGTCTCCACCCCCCCCCACTATATCAATCTCACCTCACACCTCTCTCTCTCTCTCTCTGTCTCTATCTCTATCTGTCTCTCTATATTTGTCTCTGTCTCTCTCTGTATCTCTCTGTCTCTATCTGTCTCTCTCTATCTTTGTCTCTGTCTCTCTCTGTATCTATCTGTCTCTCTCTGTCTCATTGTCGACTCTCCTTCTCTCGGCTTTCACTCGACAATCAGCACTATTATCCAATCGCACTATTTTTATTTAGCAACAAATGAGCGGCGTAATGTAACATTACAGCGATTCCTCAAAGGCAGCCATCAAATCGCTTTGCATGTTCATGTCGATCTGGCCGGCCATCTGAAACGATAAATAAATACCACGATTCTATGGCGGATACCGCATCGAAAAATTGTTTATATTTGGGTTGGTTGGTTGGTTGGTTGTTTGGTTGTTTGGTTGAGTGGGTGGGTGGGTGAGTGGGTGGGCGGCTTGGTGGGTTTGTATCGTAAGTGCCGAAACGGCTGCCGGGTAGAGTAATGAGGCTACTGGTAGGCTAACGGCACGATTTCCGATCTAGCTATTCTTGGGTTTGGCAATGATTCTTTTTTCCTTAGCGATTTAACACAATGAGCGATGATTTGTCTTTTTTTTTTTCTTAATTAAGAGCCCGACAAGGAGTTCCTAAAAATATTGGCTTTTATGAGCTTATCATTGATCAGCTCTTAATAATACCTTGGCATTGTATTTATTGAAGTATATCAGCACAGTGAAGGTAATTTTTGAAATTACACGCACATTTATGCACGAATGTTTTTTTTCTTCTTTTTATGCCGAAGATGAACGTGCAGTATATTATTCACATTATTTGTTATGATTATTAATGCTCGTAATTACCGGTTTGAAAATTTATTTCAATATTTCTCGTAGGGATCTTTTTTTTTTCCATCGAATTACTTTAATCGTCATTTTTCCATTCGTATCTTCGGTCATTTTATCGATCAAACTCAATGAAAAATCATTAGTGTTTTATAATGAATTTTTACCCAATGATTTATATTGGAATGGCGGTGGTACGGATGAAAATACAGGGACAAATAAATTCATCGAAGCAAATTTTTGCGATGAATGTTCAGCGACCTCGAGAGATTCATTGAAAAGAAAGTATGTCGTTATTAATGAGAAGAGTGAGAAAAATAAAAGCATTAAGAAGAATCAGATGTCTTATAGGTAAATGCCAGAAAAATTTGAATGTGCAAAGAAAAAAAAGTTTAAACCAATGTCCACGAGTTAATACGTTAAATATCTCTGGATGGATACAAATAAAAAAAAGAAGATCCGAAGGTATTTCATTTCGTGGTAAGACGAGCTTTTCAAATTCATAAATTATCGCTTAAAGTAATAAATTATCCAAACATCGAAGAATTATAAATTATCAAAATAATCGATTAATTATTACACATTGAGCTAAAAATAATGTATAAGTGACAAAATGAGTTAATTAAAAGAGATCTTTCTTTTTTCTGTATTTTTAATATGATTGATTTATGACACGAACGCTTCACGTCTCCTTTCATTACTTCTATACAGCAAGATTATAGGCTACCGATGCTTGCGTTTCATTCATTATTCCTATCCGCACTCTGACGCAAAAGTTTCGAAAAAGAAAAAACACAGTATTAGTATAATATTACGCCACGACGTGTATCGTAATAAACAATATAATGGCAAATTATTTACGTAAGCGATTGAACGGCGTTAATGGTAAATTTCTAATCAATAATATGATTAGTCGAAAGGCGTTAAATTTCGGGTTTCAATTTTTTTTTTTGTTTTTCTTATTTTGTATTAACGAACCAATTATGTCCGGCTGGGCACAAAAAAATTATTTCATTATACGATCTATGATCGAATGCGCGCCGTGACGCAGGACGACTCGGTTCGGTTGAAATGTTAACTAACTCGAGCATATTCGTAAACGCGTTAACGTCGGTTAATCCATCTTCCACCGATGAATTTTCAAAATCGCATCCGAGATTTTTCGCCATACGGAAGAATCGATTCTAGTTAATGTTAATTCGCAAAGGCCAAAGGGACGCCCCCCCCCTCCCGCCGACGTGTCGGGGATCGATATTATGTAATAAGCAGCCGATATCAAACTCTCCCTCATACTTCGGCCTTGGATATCGAGCAAGCATCGGCCGTGGGGTGGTATATGGGACGGGGTGACCGAGGCCTGGTGCCCCAAAGGTCTCGTCGACGACTCACCGCCTCGCGTCGACGTCGCTCCTGCTCCCGTAGCCTCTGACGCTCTCGCTCGGCGGCCGCCTTCTCCTGGCCGGCCGAGTGGCTCGGGCTGCTACTGTCGGTCTCCGCGGCCTCGGCGGCTTTCACGGCCTCGACTCTCGTGGCCGGGGCGAGGCTCGTGGCCGTCGTTGTCGGTGCCGGCTCCGCGACCGATTTCCGCACCTTGTCCAGGGCCTCCTCCTCCTCCTTTTCGCGTCGTCGCTCGCTCTCCTGACGCAGGCGTTCGCGTTCCGCCTGCTCCTTCTGCTGGCGGCGCATCTCCTGCTGCTCCAGTAGCGCGCGTTGCTGTGAACGAGATACAGGGTGAGAGAGAGAGAGAGAGAGAGAGAGAGAGAGAGAGAGAGATTGAGAGGAACACTGCGAGATCGGCGGCAGGGTCTCGGATTTTCTTTTCTTCGTTCTATTACCTTTCTTTAATAGCGAGTGAAATGTCACGCTACACGCCTAAACAAATTATGGACTACTTTGTTTACTAATCGAGCCGCTCTGACGAGTTTACTTTTCTATTGGGTCTGTTATTGGGATTGTAAGCAGCGGTGGGTATTGTATACGAAGCGCGAGCTGTCGAGGAGCGAGTGCAGGTTTGCGAAAAATAAAGGAGGCTGCGTTCTCTCTCTTGTCGGCTCGAAAGATTAGCCGTCCAGTCGCGTGACGATTGCTAATGCAGAGAACTCTATGAAAAATTTCATGAAACCGGCACTTGCGTACGTACAGACATTGATACGAGGATCTTATAACCTCACCTAGGAGCGCTAAGTGTAATTGCTCGACTTACTCTGTCTTGCTTCTCCTTCGCTTGCTTTTTAAAGGCTTGGAACGTGTCGCGGGTCGCGCTCTTTGTGCTCGTACCAGCGGCCGATTGTGGACTCGAGGCCTGGGCTAACGACGACCAAGATGATGCATTTTTCACATTCTGCTCCACGGTCTGGGAATACACAAGATCATTGATTACGAATGGGAATGATTATCAATCGATGTGCTAAAATCAGTCTTTACGCCAATATTTAACTTTAACGTTAGAAAAAAATTTATCTCCCTAAGTTCGATAATACACTCTAGAAGACATTAGATAACGGCTTTTTGGCTTTGAAAATATGTGAATGACAATAATAATAATAATAATAATAATAATAATAATAATAATAATAATAATAATAATACGCATTATTATCTTTCAAACGTGTTTTCCATTATTTAAAGTGGAAAAATATAAAAGACGAGGCGATGTTACGTCACGATAACTCCATCTTCTCTTTCTAATGCATATAATAATAATAATACATTTTATAACAAATATCCATCGATTTTATACCGACAGTTCCAATTCTTTCAACATATCTTAAATTAATATATAAGTGGCTTTTAATCTTTGACTTTATTTTGTTTGATTTTGTGCAATCGTAGTCAGAATATATAACAAAAATATAAATTTCAGATCACATCCACTTATCTACTCTACGATACTAAACACGATTTCCTTATAAACATAAAAAAATTCAACTTTCATTGATTCTCGCATTAATTTATATATATTTTAATAATTATAAATAACTGCATGTAAATAATACCTTATTCTTGAAGGCTGACGCAAAGTTAGCTGCAGGATTTTTCGAATCAGGTGGGGTCATTTGCTTCTTTTCCGGCAATAATTGTGAGGTCGAATGATTGGTCATTTGTGGTATTCCTAAAGCAGTCATTTCTGCAAAAAAAGCTCCGGCTAGAGCAACAATGTGATGTGACTAATTAGTGAGCGTTAGTACGGCGTGATTGTTTTAATTACAAGATTTACCAAAGTGCGTGTGCTGGTGAGAAGACAGAATCACGAATAGAAGATTTATACTAATGGTTAGAGAGAGAGAGAGAGAGAGAGAGAGAGTGAGAGAGAGAGAGAGAGAGTGAGGGGGGGGAGCATGCTCATAATTTAACATAAATATACTTGGATGCGATTGTTATTGTAAACATTTGTATCGAAATGTAAACGAATTGCAATATAAATTTTATAAAACCATTTTTTAATACTTTCTTCCATATTTTATATTTTACTAATTACTTTAATTCTCCATAACGATAAGTCGATAAAATTAATATTAAAATTAAAGCGTTACTTATTATAAAAAGAAAAATTTATTATTACAAGTTAGTGGAGAACATAAATAAATGTCGACATAAAGCTTTAAAACGAATAATTCTCTCGAAATCAATTTATACGTCGAATGTAGTTATAAATTTAAAAGGTTAGAATGCAAATAAAATTAATGTAATCGTAATAAGATAAAGCTACGTATGAATATAGAGAATCAAAAGACAAATAAAATATGTATAAAGCAAGCAAGATAATATCCTTTCACCACCACAATATCCTATTATTCGGAATAAATTGCCATTGGCAAAGAATAAACTTATAAATTAAATTTCATCTTAAAGATAGCATTGAAATTTTGGCGGACCAAGTAGCCTTACCAACGAAGCTCCGTGAAACAAGCAAAATAAAGAAGAAATAGAAGCTGGCATATTTAAAAATAATTACAAAACTTAAAATAAAAGATTCGACTATGTTGCAATTAAATTGCAATAAAAGCAAAGCGAAGCGAAAGCATAAAATATATGTATAATGTAAAAAAGAGATAAAGGTAAAAGAAGAATAAGAAGAGAAAGAGGAAGAAGAAGAAGAAGAAGAAGAAGAAGAAGAAGAAGAAGAAATAGGCAAAAGGAGACTAGTCCTTCCAGCGAAGCCACCTACCATCCATCTTCTGTGGGATCTGCTGTTGAGCCGCAGCCATGGCCATAGCTGCCGCTTTCTCGTCCTTCTTTATCTGCAGCTGCGGTATCTGCATGGGCATGACCAGCGAGTGCGGATCGAAGATCGAACCTATGCTTGCCATGTTGAGATTCATGCCGAGGCCAGGTATGCCATTGTTATTGAGCATATTTGGCGGCGAGCTGTCCTGTCTCTTCATGTTTGAGAAGCCGTTCGAATGCTGCTGCTGCTGCTGCTGCTGCTGCTGCTGCTGCTGTTGTTGTTGCTGCTGCTGCTGTTGTTGCTGTTGCGGATGATGATGAGCGCCAGTGGACGCGGTGGCGGCGCCCATCGTCGTCGTCATGTGACTGTTCTGGATGCCGATTGGCGATGACACGTTTATCATGCTTTCGAGCTGATTATGCATGGCCATATGCGAGAGTCCCTGCTGCAGATTCATATTGAGATTACCGAGGTTGAGATTGCCGAGGTTGAGGTTGGCCGGTATCGCCGACATCATATTAACGGCGCTCTTAACGTCCGGTGGCAGCAGATTTATGCTCGCACTGTTAGCACTACTATTGTTGCTCGTCTGGTGCGTCAGCGACGTCTGAATCATCGGGATGTGTTGTTGCTGTTGCTGTTGCTGTTGTTGCTGCTGTTGTTGTTGTTGTTGTTGTTGTTGCTGCTGCTGCTGCTGCTGCTGCTGTTGCTGCTGTTGCTGCTGCGGTTGCTGTTGCGGATGATCTTTTTTCGAGGAAACGATCGATATATTCGAGGCTAGTGTCTGATCAAGGCCCGTGTGCGTCGTCGTTGGGGCGGACACTGTTTTTCGGGGGCAGGAGCAATGTATGTGTTAATAGGCACTACTGATTTCATAGAATCTTTGTTCTATTGTGCCGTAAGTATGTTAATGCAATGACGAAACTTGTGAAATTAATCGATTGATTTTGAGGACGGTAGCTTTAGCTTACAAATTACAGGTGATTGATTGACGGTTGTAAACGATTATTCGACAATAATGTTCCTATTAACTTTTACTATTAATCAGGGAAAGCTCCAGCAGTACCAAATAATATCAGAATTGCAAATGTGACCTTTGTTGCGATTAAACGATAGTTTTTCTTTTCTTTTCTTTTTTTACTTTTTATAACCTTTACATTTAACCAAAATTTCTCGAAAATATTAATTTTGCTGGACAATTGACGCGTTAATAATATTTGTTAATGTTCTAAGCATAATATCATTTTCAATAACAGAATTTTCAATGATTAATTAATTATTAAACGGCTGGTTATTTACCCTTGATTTTTATGATGTAAATTTTGTCGGTAAATGTTTGATCGAATTATAAATAAATAGCATTTCGAGTTTCATTTAAAATTTTCATTATCATTGAAGCAAATGAAGAATAACATCATTTCAATTAAGTCATTAGTATTTTTTAAAATATTTTTTAGGCTCACCATTATCGTTATTATATCTTATATTTAATTAAGCAACTTAATATATATCTTTATAATAATTTGGGAATTATGGTAAATTGTCAATGGTTTTAAGTTCATAAATTTTATCAGAAAGTTATCGCTAATATCTGCGCTTGTCTCTTTCACTATCATCATCGAAAGTAAAATACATATCGGCATATTATGATTCTAGTACTATCAACTTTAGAAGCATATATTTATTTTAATTATTTTATATACTTAAACAATTATAGTAAATCGATGGTATTTATAGGCTATGAAAATTTCTAATAATATTTAAAAAAAAAAAAAAAAAAAATCAATAGGAGAGTATATAATAAACTGCCATACTATATTTTTATAATTGTCTTGTCTGGCGTGAAGTTTATTTTTTGTCACGCAAATGTCATAATATAAGCTTGAAATTTACTCAATTTTCTTACTGTTATTGTTGAAGCAAATTGTATCACACATTGCAATCAATTCCCTCGACATTAAAACGAACGATATAAACGATCTCGCTACGTAACCTATTATTAAAGACCACGAAATAGTAAACAAATTTACATAAAAATTATTAAGTTCAATTAGCTACGAGTTACATGATCATATATCGTTTAATGTTCTAAATAAGAATTATAATAGGAGCTGTTAATTTTAATTCACTTTCGACAATTTTCTCCATCAATTTCTCCAAAAGTTTTCAACGAGAAGAATTAGCTTATAATCCATAATTTTGCAAGTTAGAAGAATAGCTTTATAAAGAAATACTTTCTCACATTTTATTTGAAAACTTATTTACATTCAGTATTGCACTTTTCAATACAAATAAACACTCAATATACAGTTACATATGCACGATATACATAGTATGAATTACATTTTCTAGTAAATCATGGCTCATACTTTCTAATGGTTATCGAAATTAAACCATTCAAGCAATGAAATTAACATATTATTATTAAAAACGAAAAGAATTTTGAATATGTGATTTTTATCTTTAAGCGATTGAAATTTATGTTAATGTAAATTAATACCTATTTCTCGCGTCAAATCAATTACTGATCAAATTTAAAAATAAAATATCAAACAGAAAGAAATTTTCATGCAAAATATGAACAATTTTTAATAGTTAATTAGAAATTATTTTATACTGTAGAAGAAAAAATTTTATGGTAAAGGAATTCATAACGGAAGAAAAACATGCAATAGATTCAATATTAGTGTACTGGAGGGGAACACTGATAAGGGAAACTACAATTTTTGATAAGATTTAAATTTTGAATTTTAAATAAAAGCCATCGTTATCTGTACAATCTGATTAATCGCATCATTTGCTTCTACTTTCATATTTTAATAATTAATTATCGATTAAAGAATAAATAACGAATAAAGATATTTAATAAAATTGAATAATCAACAGTCCAATTAAATTTAACTTGCCTTTACGTACAAAATTCAGTGCCTCATAAAATTGATAAGCATATTTCTAAGAAGAATCTAATGTATTTTGAAATTATTTTTATTGTTTTTAAAAATCGATACGATACCCTCCTTAATTTGTGTCAAATATTCTGCTTAGAAAAACAAAAAAAAAAAAAAAAAAAAAAAAAAAAAAAAAAAACTCAATAAAAAAAATTGAATAAATCTCTAGCTACGCATATATTACTTTCTCATTGATTTTCATTGTCTTTTTGTTTTAATTTAATCGTTCTAAGTTTTTGATATTATAAAGTTCGTATCTAAATTAATATGAAATTAAAAAATATGTAACGATAAACATTAAAATAATATTGTACATTAAAAGGATATGTAATCTCAAATTCAATTTTGCATATAGAATCAGCGAATTAAATTTTTTTTTCTTCTTTTTTTTTTTTAATTTATCATTAATAGCTAGTAATAATAATTATACAAAAATATTCATAATATTAAAAACTTATTATAAATTAAGTAAAATTCAAGTTTGTGATTTTCATTCTTCCCATTGGAACTGCATATTTCCTTTAAATAATCCTATTTAAAGAAGAAATGTTGATACTTTCAAACTAATGAAAGCTTCAGTATTATTATTAGCAGGCAGCTTATAATTTTAGAAATTTTTAAACAAGCGCAGATTTAACGACAACTATGCAAATTCGTCAATTAATAAAAACTGTCAATGATTCCCACCACTCGGACAACGAGTATAGACGCATATAGTTATATAATTATTTCTGTCAGGTAATTTACAATAATATATATGTTAAAAATTATGTAGATGATAGTTTTTGTATGTTTCGAAACAGATGTGAAAGCTGCAGAGAATTACTTTATCGTCTACCATGTACTATACCAATAAACAGAAAAAACAAACTTATTACGGAAAAATCAATGATGAATGTCAGAGAAAGAGTAAGACAATATAACAACACATGTCAACGACAATTTAATCGCATAGATGAAATTTTTATATTTTTATTTTATATTTCTATCTTAATCTACTGTATTCTCATTAAAGTTACGTTTAATTGAAAATTATTTTAAATAACTTCAAGGAAAAAAGTTTACAAATTATAAAAGCATTTTTTTTAAATTAATAATTTTTAATATATCAATCATTTTAAGATGTATAATAATTGCTATTCTCAGGAAAGATAGCGCTTTTTATTTAATATGTCGAATAAGCAGCATTAAACGATGATGAAGGCAAGAAATAAAAATTATCGATACTCTAATTTACCGACTGTATTGTATAACCACGTAAGGGGAATAATAATAAAAATTTTTACGTAAATTTGATATAAAAAATAAAAAACAAAAAAAATAAAATAATAATAATAATAATAATAATAATAATAATAATAATAATAATACTAATAATAAATTCAAGAAATGGATCGTTTTTTCATCTATTTTAATCGAAAGATTTTTTTTTTTATTTTATTTTTATTTTATCATTTATTTCTTTTATATTAATGTAATTGAAATGTTATTCGGTTTCATTTATTTATTATGGAGTAATGAATTCTTTTAATAAAATTGAGTCTAAACACGTAATCTAGCAGAATCGTGAAAATACGGATTGCTAATTGTAATTCCAATTATAAGCAAAAATAGTAAACGAAGAAATGTAAATGAAAATTTGATAGAAAGTACATAAGATAAACGATATTGCATATGCTAGGAATATATGGAGTACTAAGAAACGACCGAACATTTATCTTGCAAATCATTCAATTACACAGTGGTCAGTAAGGCAGCACTTTCACATCCATCTCATTATCCTACCGATAATCATAATAACAATGAAAAAGTGGTGAGGTAGTGGGTAGTGGTGTTTTGTGCGCGCGTCTGTAATTGTGTTTGCGTGGGCGTGTAAGCGCGCGCGCGCGTGACTGGCACCATTTGGAGGCTTGGAGCCCTGAGCAATCGCTACAAGCGTCTACATCATTGCCTCGACGGCAAATCAATGAATCAACATTGTGATGTGAACCCACCGATACCTAGAGCACTGTACGACTGTAGTAAATCCGACTGCTGACTGACAACGCCGGAGACGACATCGTGCTGCGTGTGCGACGTCGCAACGCTCGGAAAGGAACTAACGACGGGCGGCGCGGCGGTGACCGTCTGCTGAGGCACGATCGGCGACGTAACAGCCGGAGGAGGTTGTTGTTGTTGTTGTTGTTGTTGTTGTTGTTGCTGCTGCTGTTGTTGCTGTTGTTGTTGCTGCTGCTGTTGTTGCTGCTGTTGCTGCTGGGGAGCCGAGGGTACACTGGATATCGAGGGTGTGATCGTGACCGCGGCTGCAGTTGTCGTCGCTATTGGCTGGCTCGAGGCGATTGGCTGCTGCGGTTGTGGTTGTGGCTGTGGCTGGGTCGTCTGAACCGGCGCGACGACCGGTGCCTTTTTGAGGGGGGCCGCCGTCGCCAGGGAGGTGGGCCGTGAGGGCTGGGCTGGCATGGAGGCGTGACTCGCCACCGGGGGCACCGGCGCCGAGGCTGCCGCCACAGGTTGACTGGCCGTAACCGCCGCCACGGCGATCGGTTGGCTCGAGTTGCTCGCGCCCAGCGCTATTTCGTTGTGAGGGTTTCACTTAGGGTTATTTAATCATCTACGTGTATTGCGCCTCGCTTTAATCTACACTCGGGGGACATCTACGCATCGTCGCTTAGGCTATTTTAGCTAAGTCTGGGCTTATAGACGCACCGCTCTACCCACGATACACTGACAATAATTCGACCGATGGATCGTTCATATTGAAATTCAATTTGCTTCGGCTTACCTAGCGCTCGCCCGGCCAATTTCAAATCCAATTTCAACACATCCGACCGTTTTTATTCCTTTATTACGTAATCTTTCATGGGGCTCCGAGTTTGGACGCTCCGTTCAAACTGCATTGCAATTGAAAGGACTTTCGTCAATAGCGAGGATCAAGTATCGATGGTAAAACAGTTGGCTGATACAGTTCGTAATAGTTCGGACGTTAATTTTATGATTGAGTGACATCGAATACCGGAACACCATAAACACGCATTCATACCCATATTAAAAATCGAATAATTTCAATTCACCAGGCTCTATTGGGCGTTTTTTTTGTTGTTGTTTTTCGTTTCTTGTTAGTGTGATGCTACTGTGACTATTCTCGAGCATTACTTCAAATTTTGAAAGCATGAAAGATTTAATATTGTCTTTACGAATGTTACTGGGGATTACGAATCGTCACCGACTTCTTAATATAAATGTGAATGCATGTGGAATGGAATATTTATTGATTAATGGCATTATTGTAAAGAGATATGAAATATCGATCTTTATAATAATGCATTCTACTGAATCAATTATACTACAAGTCGACAATTTTGGTAAAATAGCCAATTTATAAAATAAAAAAGCAAAAACCCCTTTTTATTTAACTATAATTGACGAAAAATTAAATTTTCACGGTAAACATGTTTTTTTTTTTTTTTTTTTTTTTTTTTTTTTTTTTTTATTGAACAATTAAAAGTAGATCCCAAAAATTACGAAACGTATAATTTAGTTGGACTTGAAATAATTTTTCCAATAACGTTTGACAATAATTTCTTATGGAAACGTAATAATGACTGGGAAACGTACATTCGGCAAAAATCGAATTTTTTCGCACAATTGTAGTACAATTGATACACCAGATTAAGCACAAAAGATCCGAATTGTTTATTGCCTTAAAACCTTGAATCACATTAGAAAAGTCGAAAGTTTAGTTACTTTCGATCGTTTTTTTCATTATATAGTATAATTTTTAATAGAAAAAATCGTATTTTAAAAAGAAAAGAAAATATCTTTCAATTCACTACTTAAAGTTGATCTATAAAAATGTTTTAGAAATGAAAAAAAAATCCTATATTAATCTATAGAAAATATAGATGTAGATATAGATTAAAGATTTATATATATATATATATATAAAAAATATTTTTGCTTCGAACTGTAGAAGTAGAGTGCATCTTATATTTCTAATGTAATAATTTAAAATACAAGGAATTTCAATCTCATAAAACATTTGTAGTTTTCGTTTAAAATACAAAAAAAAAAACAGCTTCAATTCATTGATATAATAAGTTTTCCATAATAAAAATTCCCGTATTCAACAATACTTCGTAAGATTGGAATAAGATAGTAAATACGATTTTTTCATCGGACTGCATTTTCCATAATTTCTCATGCATTTTATTCAAGAAATCCAAATAAATAAAAAAAAAAAAAAAAAAAAAAAAAAAAAAAAAAAAAAAAAAAAAAAAAAAAAAAAAAAAAGAACTGAAATTAATTCCGAATTCAATAGCAATAAAGGTGACACAAGGTCTTAAGGAAAAACAACAACTCGTTATTTTTATTCATTACTATATATATTCAGTGTTCACTTAAAAATTCATGATGGAAATGGAGAAGTAATGTTTTGCTTAAATATTAAAATAATGTTATTATTTATTTTATTTTTCAGAAGAAAATGATTATAAAGGGTTAAGTAAGCCAACGAAATCTCTAAAGAAATAAAATTCCATTGTACTGCGCAATGAAGTATTTTAATTTAAATAATTAAAATGTATCTTTTATATTTCTCCATTATTATGAATTATTAAATATTAGAAAGATAATGGGAATAGTAGAGTTGCTTTAATTTCTACTCAAACGGTATAATAATATTTATTAAAAACCGTTAAAATAATATTTGTAATCAAAGCTTTGAAAAATATGAATTAAAGATATTCGCGTAATGAACTAAAAAAAAAAAGGTTACTTTGACTAAAGTCTTCAAAAATTTTCCTATGAATCGCTATGAACTAAAATAAATTATAACTTTTAAAAATGACATAAAAATTAGAACAGCTTCAATGTGGAGTCGCATTGTAAACAAAAATAATTAAATAAATAAATAAATAAATAAATGGATGAATGAGTGTTAAAATTTTTTTAAATATTTTAAATATTTAAAAGTTCTTGATAATAAAAAGCTTTTCTTTTCAAGGTTCTTCAGAAATACGCACATGTCACATGAATAAAGTACCTCTAACAATTGATTAATGCTTTTATAGAAAAAAAAAACTTGAAAAGGTTATGCTCAACATTGTCTCATTCTATTTATTACTTTTCTTCCATTTCATCAATTAATGTAAATTAATCCAGGTTTATAGTTTAATAAATAATATGGGTACGGGCTTAGAAAAATGGTATCTAAACGAAAGAATTTTATTTTATTTTTTTTTGTTAATATGTAAAAAAATTAAAACTAATAATTTATTTGATTCAATATCTTATCGAAATATTAAAGCATTTCTTTTTCATGATATATTTAATATTTTTATTTATTCTTTTTGCGATACACAAAATAATTCAAATTACAACATTTATTATTCATTTACGGCCAATATGCGTTTTTACAAATGTTATTTTAAACGTATATATTTTTATAGTTAAGATTTAAATCTTTAGTCAAATTAACTAATTTTTTCTAGAACAACTATGTTACGTTAAACTTACTAAAATATTAATAAGGCACGAGATGTCACGAATCAAGCCAGTTGTACGTATGAATTTCCTAATTCTACTTTTACATATTTGTTCAATAATAATCTATTGAGGTTCAATAATATTCACGTTTGAACAATAATTATAAAATTAAGCGTTAACTATTCTTTAAAAAAAAAAAAAAAAAAAAAAAAAAAAAAAAAAATATATATATATATATATATATATATATATAATAATAATAATAATAATGATGATGATAATAATAAACAAATAATAAAATAAAATTCTATTCAAACAATAGTAATAAATAAGTCTTTTTAAAGAATAGTTTTAAACAATAGTTTGCTATATTCAATCATAAGCAGAAGATGTAACAATTAAAAATGCTCTTTAAAAATGATATGCATGTGCATACATACCACCCACGTATGTATGTATATGTATAGGAATGTTACAAGATTTAGGAGCTTGCATGAACATAAATCGGAAAATTATCAAAGACAGTAGTTTCAAAACGTTATTCGTTCATAATGAAAAACCAGTCGAAAGAATGTAGCGATTGTAAATTAATATTTCAATTAATGTTTGAAAATGGCGCAGTGTACTTGAAAATTACATTCGATTAGTTTAAATTATTTTAATGAATTCAGCGAAACCCAATCGAAATTCATTATTCAAACATTAAATGAAACGGCCATGTTTCAATCGTGCAAGTATCCTGTTCAAAACGTCTCGTAATCAATCGGCAAAATTAGCTTTTACAATCTTCCAGAATATTAGCGATTTAATAATTGTTCAAAAACTGACACTCGTATTAAACAGTAAAATAAATTCAGAACTAATACAACAATTAGTCAAGGCTATTAGTAAAAATCGACAATTTGTCCATTTTCGTATCAAGCAAAGACATTTGTTATACCTTGTTCAGTGGGATTATTGCTAGGTTGAGTGACTGCTGGCTTCGTTACTGGTCCCGTGGAATTCGCTGCCGTTTGATTATTCATTAATAGACCTCCGGTATGATTTATGTTTGAAGCCTGTATAGGATTAGACAATTGTTATCAAAAAACCCTGATTTCTCAAATGATTGCCTCGGCATTAGCCTAAGGAACCTCGTGCATTTTTTTTTTCTCTCTCTCTCTCTCACTCTTGCTACTTATTATAAGAGACGAGTATGGGCGATCAAAACTCGGTATAGAATACTCAACTTGCACCAATCAATTACTTGAGTATGTATTGAGAGCCGATTATTAGCCGATTATTAGACAAATAATGAATTTATGCTGCCCCTATTATTGCTTAATTGCTTAATCAATAATAGCATTACGAAATAATAATTTCAATATTTTTTAGGTTAAATTTCAATTAAAATAAATTTTACGCGTTGACATACCTTTGGCCAAAACATTTAGAAAAAAAAAAATCAAATAAATAAATTAATAAATAAATAAATAAAACAGTATTTACAAAGATAATTTTAATTTCCCTCTACCCATTCTAATAAAAACAACATTTATTGTTGAAATACAAACAAAACAAAAAAAAAGTTATTAACAATAATTTGAAATTTGAATATTTGAAATTCTCATTTGTCTCTATTTCGTCGGCATGCTCAAAATATTATAAATAATGCATAAAATTATATTCAATAGTACAGAGTACAGTCGGACAAAATCAATTTTTTTTTTTTTTTTTTTTTTAAATAAAATAATATATTAAAATTAAATAATCCAGTGCATATACAATGAGAGGCGGGGTAAGGACGGGGGGGGGGCAAGGGGGGGGGGGGGGGCAAAACATTAAAAATTTGATATAACTGGGATGCTATTAAATAATATGCAATATGAACGATAAGCTTTAATTGATAGCAGTAATTGATACTTATTCTTTTGTAGTCAAGCACTTTTTTTATCGTTGAGTTGATCGATAATAACCAATCGATTGTTGAACTATTGCATCATAATATACATACATACATACATACATACATACATACATACATACATACATACATACATACATACATATATACACACACATATATATGTGTATGATAGGACAAAACTTCAATTATAGTTTTAATTAGAAGCTAGAATATACTTCTTTGTGGTATGAGGCTTTAAATAAGAAAGTAGATAATGGACTAAGATAACTCAACTTAGGGTAAGTGCACCAGTAAACGAAGAATAAATCTTAAAGATACCATCTGTTCAATAATTCTATGGTTTCATTATAATTAATATTCAAAATTTGCTTCATTTTTTTTTTTTTTTTTTTTTTTTTTTTTTTTTTTTTTTTTTTTAATACTATAATGGTTAATGAAAATACTACGCAACTATTGTTAAAATTAACTTATCATAAGGTGTAATAATTTTGTCAGCTTATTTTCGAAAGTTTATTTCCATTCAATAAAGATTTTTAATTTATTACAACAATTTAATAAAACACGTAAAAAATTTACTATAACAATAATTGTTTACATTTGGCATTTTTTAAATACTCGTTTTATAATAAAGACGTTTAATTAATATCGATTCTTATCATGCAGCCTACCATACCAACCTTATACAATTATTTTTATTTAAAATGATGATTGGTTTAAGCATAATCGAAACATCAATTTGCAACATATATACGCTCAAGCATTATAGAAAAAGTAAAGCAAATATTCAATGATTTCAAAAGTGTTAATACATGAAAGAATATAAGGAAGAGAGAAAAAAAAAAAAAAAAAAAAAAAAAAAAAGGAAAAGAAAAAAAAAAGAAAAGAAAAAATACAGAAACGTTAATTCACTCTACTTTTAAAATCTTTAAATATTTAATTAAAATTATGAATAAATGCAGGTCTGTATTTATAAATTTGTATTATTTTTCGAATCAAGATATTTACTCATACTACCTATTCATACAAATTATATGGTAGATGTGCAAATTGTTTACTCTCTCATAATCTGTTAAAAAATGCATCTCAAATGACTTTATATTTTTGTAATGTAATAATAAATAGCCACAAAGTAAAAAATTAACACAAATAGTAAAAGTAACATTTTATTGTAATAACTATGATTAGTGTATTGCTCATTTTACATAATAAAAGATTACAATTTAACTTGCTCCAAATTATAATTTGTCAAAGAGCTTTAGCAAGATATAAATTGCATATAACTAATTTATTTTGAAACATACAAAAATAATTATTAATCGCTTTTATGTTCTATCTATTTTGAATACCGATATAAAATATTGTTACTTGCTTCGCCAGTATAATATATGGAAACAATAAATGTGAAATTACAATCGTGTGGTTCCTTTAAATACAATAATTTTTCCGTTATAAAAATTTACAGCTACAATAATATATCAAAAGTTTTGGTAAATACAAAGATTTTGAAATTATCAACATTGTACGTTGAATTTTCGTAATAGCGTTAAACAAACATTTCATGTATAATAGTATAAAAACAGATAAGGTAAATCGAGCGTCGTAGTGTTCCATCTTTCAATGTTTAATTTATATAAAAGAAGTTCAAAAAATGTATTATCGTCAGTACAGAATAAGAATTTTTTAATCTATTGCAAATAAATAAGACTTCGCATTATAAAATTTGTAAAATTTACTCTATCGTTATCATTGCCTCTTTCGTGCGCATCTAATTTCTAAATATAATTTCTAAATAATGAGAGAAATTATATATAAAACTTTAATAATAATGGTACTCTTTACTTAATCATTGTTGCTTTAGGCTAAAAACAAAATATTCTCGACACCTCAAATTGCTCTACGAAATTTATATAACTTCAATTTAACAACTAATTTCACTCGCATTTGGAAAACTGATACACGTGTCCTTTAAAACCGTATGCATTTGCTTTCGTGATAAATAAAAAACAAAAACAAAAACAAAAAACAAAAAAAAAAAGAACAAAAAAAAATCAAAAAAACAAAAAAACAAAAAAAAAAAAAAGATAGAAAGAATGAAAGAAAGAAAAATTTCGTAATAATTAAAAAACAAAGTGTTAAAAATCTTCGTGACATTTGTTTTATTTGAACTTGCAAGTATTTTAAACCTGCAAAAGAAGAAATTACATGATCGTTAGCTCTAGCGATTGGCTTCATATGCCAAAGAACTTGCGAGTAGAAAACAACGGTTTTTCCTTATAAATTCGCTCGTCGTTGACTGGTGCATTTACCTTAATGAAAACAGACGAAACCTAAACAAGACCTACCGTTGGAACTGTACTAGCTGATGTCGTTGTGGCCGTCGTAGCAGCCGCGGATGTAGCGGTGCTCGTCGTTGTCTTCTTCGCCTTTTTTCTAGGCGGCCGATTACCCGCGTTTCCTGCAAATGCAATTACGTGCTACTAAAAGCGAATCTCAATCGCCCAATCGACATTTTATTCTCATTCATTCTCTTTCGATTATTATTTCTCTTTTTCGGCGATATAGTGGAGCGCCAATACGGCATTGCGAGGATACCAACCAACTATGTGTATTATTATTATTATTATTATTATTATTATTATTATTATTATTATTATTGCCATGAAAAGTATGAAAGATATAAGTAAGCGTGGGCAAAAAGTAATAATGCCAGACGGTAATAAGTCAATAAACAGAAACAACATCGGTCGATTATTTTCTAATAGATTTTATTTATATACTTATATTATAATTATATCACTGTATACAACAATGTTAATTTAAATATCTCAATTGTATGCTTTTGTGGACTTTCATCTTAAGGTTTTTTTGCATTTTTTCTTCTCCGCATCATCTTCTTCTTCATTTATTTCCTTCATTTATATTAAAAAATCTTAATGCGCAGAACAATTTTTACCTTTTCTCTTGCTCATTCTTATCATTCTACATAACATGTTCAAATTTTTTGTCAATCATTCTTATACGATTACGTACGTGTCTGCCTGTATGTCCTACTTTCTCTCTCTCTCTCTCTCTCTCTCTCTCTCTCTCACAGCGTCTCTGTTGCCTTTGCACAACATGTGTACTCGTGTTTGTGTACATTATATTTATATATTTATAATTATATGTATATCTAAACCACACACAAGTACACCAAATCTGATCACATGCGCACACGCACGCGCACACATACAAACATATATATGTTACTCGCTCGCTTTCATTCTTTTTCTCTTATTCTCGCGCTTTCAATCGCTTCATCATTTATATTTTTCTGATTTCTTCTACTACAAGGAAGGGTACTTGTTTTGCAATTTTAATAATAAATGACGATGACAACAGTGATTTGTGATGATGTTGCTATTGAACAGGTGCATGACGATGACTTTTGTTTATTTATCTTTCTTTACTTCCTTATTCATTTCATTATTTTACTATGATAATCGAGTCACGAAGGCGATTACAAAAAAGTTTTGCGTTCGATTATTCACAAAAAAGGAAGGAAACTTCAAAACTACCTACTTTTTAATTGTTCATCGTGCAATGTCCTATTATATGATAATGTAACATTAGAATTTATATTAATGGTAAATTAGAGCTTCGCAATAATTAAAAAAAGGGAAATAAATGGTACAATTGTAACCATCTCAAGAGGAATTATATTTCATGAATTCTATATAAAATTAGGCATAAATGAGTCACAAGCTCATAGAAAATTTTAACTCTTTATAATATATTAATTATTGATAATCTTTAGCTTCTCTTCCCCAAGCGTTCTTTCTCTTTAACCAAAATAAAAAAAAAAAAAAACCAAGTCGCAGGGTTAGCACATTAAATATTATTGAGATCGATGGCAAGAAATAATCTTGCTTGGCATTGTCTTTAATTCAAATAAATATATATATAAAATATATATATATTTATATATAAAGTCAAACGAATCTTTTCGTTTTCAATATTTTGCTTTAGGGCAATGTGAAGTTTCTTGTCTTGACTGAGAAGTATCAAAACTTTTAATAATTAAGAAAATGCATTATTTCCAGGCACTTAATGTTAGATATCAATAAATCAATATATTAATAATAAATTGATTAACTAAGCTATTATTCTATATTCATTCGGTATTTATAATTTATCCAAGTATTATTAAAAAATTCAATTATGTAAATGGTATATTACGCTTATAGTACTTATAAGAAATTGTGTATAAAGATTCTTATGAATCTGTACTATATATTTGAAAAAATCGATAATGTTAATTATTGAAAATTTAACATTAAAATAAAAATCTCATAGTACTTCATTACTTTGATCGAATTTACATCAATATATTTGTTGAAAATAGATAAACTAGCCCTCACCTCCATCACTTTTCAATAAATAAGATAAAAACATGTACACTGGTGTAACAGGTAAAGACTACAAAAACTTTTGTGAGATCCAACTCAGTCGATAACAAGTAATGCTACCATACAACCAACTTTTTTCCCTATACATAAATCTATCGAAATAATAAAAAAAAAAAAAAAAACAAACAAGAAAACAACAAAAAAAAAAACAGAAAAAAAGGTATGGACGAAATATAGGCGAATTAAACAAAAATTTAAATAATGTAGGGCTTTCCTCGTCTCTTCGTTCGCTAACTAATTTCCACGTAAACTAAACAAAAATCCAAGAGATAATGCAAGCGTTTTACGTATAAACTTTATAAACACAAGTGAGTCAGTGTCCGGTAATAGTACAATTGTAAAGTACGTATAATTTTCCTACATAAGCATTTAAAACCCGTGTTCTGTTCTCCCCTCTTTCAATCGTTTCGTACTGGAAAAATATACTTTTTAACTTATTCCTTCGTCATACAATTTCACATCTTCATTTTAATTCCTCGCACTCATCAAAATAAAATGTTACAAGACCAGAGCTAAAACACAAATTGACTCATACACTTCGCTTTGAAAATGCAAATCATTATACAAAGATTTTATAGTGTTAGCGGTGTGTGTATAGTGAAGAAAAATTAAAATACTACTTATACTGAAGTGTGGAAGAAAAAAATCCCGGTCTTCTCTCGTGCTATGGAAGAAAGCATAATAAGAAATGCTATGTATATAAGGAGAAAACAAGAATCAAGACAAAAGAAATAAAGGGAATCATATTTGTATAATAAAATGCAGAATGATCCGGCTTATCTTAATTTATATAATATAGCGAACCGTTGATCACTGCTTGAAATTTGGAGTGATGCATCATCCTTCAAAAAGATGTGTCTATCGTATAATTATCAATTAAAATCGAACATGTAGATTTGTGTGAGACAGAGGGACAAAGAAGGGAGAGTTTTTTTTTCATTATATATTTTATATTTTTATTTTTGCACATACATTTGTCTCCCTCGACCTTTTTCCTCAAATTCTCTCTCTCTCTCTCTCTCTCTCATTCTCTCTCTCTATCTCTCTCTCTCATTCTCATTATTTCTTACAATAAAAACCTAAAAAAGTTATAATATTGGACGATCATAATCGTATTTATATTAGTTTTCGCTATATATATGTACAAAAACGCGTACACGGCGATTCTTGCCCGTCAATATATTTATGAATGTGTAATGTATGCATGCGTGCGGGTTATGTGCGCGCGCGAAAGACAGTCACGTGTGTGTACATACAAGCGCGCACATATATAATTATTTATCTATTTAACTATTTATTTACTTAACCATTCACTTATTCAACGCTCAAAACATAAATTTTCTCTCCCTCTCTCTCTCTCTCTCTCTCGGTGCTGGTGGTTATAGTAATGTGTATGTGTATGTGTATGTGTATGTGTATGTGTGTCTTTTTCTCTTGGTGAATGTATATCTGCATGTGTGTGTGTGTGTGTGTGTGGACGCGCGCGCGCAAATATATTCATATATTTATATATAAAAAAATATAAAGAAAAATAAAAATTATACAGAAGTTATATTTATCAATTAAAGAGATAACGAGTAAACGAATAGAACGTGCAACAAGCGAAAAACACAAGATTGAGTTTGGTGCAGTTATCGTCACTATTAAAAAAAAAAATGTTCCGATAGAAGGAAAATTGGCACACGGTTAAACATCTTTAAATCTTTATAAATATATATTTATGTGTGTTGTGTGTATACAACGTGTCTTCATTTGTAGGAAGTGCACGAAACTCAAGAACACGGTACTTTTTTTGCATATGTATGGTAACACGTAAGAGCGCGCAAACGAAGCCGAGAAAATTTTATGACAAAAATTTACCATAATTCATGTTTATATTATGTTAGTATATTTTATACTATAAAGTATAATTCTTATAATTCGATATTACTATAATACAATTATTGAGTTATTTTATAACGACGAATGCTTAAACTCAACATCAATTAGAAACACATTTCTTATATTAAAAATTATACGTTCCTACTTGAAGTACACGTAATTTCTTATATGTATTTTCAACATTTCATAACGAATTAAAATATGTAAAAAAGTCTAAAACGCACTTTTCAATTATTATCATTATGATCTTAATTTAACGGATAATATTAATATGTAGTAAATTTTGTTATGAAACTCTCTCAGCTACAATGGAAGAAATTATTTTATAGGCACAAAATATAGATTGAACAACCATCGGAAGAACTGTTTAACCAAATTAAACTAAAGTAGGTAATAATTTTTTGGAAGGCAACGAGAAACTTTTCTTCTTTTGATAACTAATAATCAATGATAATGATAATGATAATGATAATAATGATAATAATAAGAATAAGAATAAGGATAATAATAATAAAATGAATACCTTATAATCGCGAAATACACAAATTATTACTTAACTGTTATCATCCTTAAAAAGAAAAAAATGCATTGTCTCTATTTAACGCATCTTCTTTATTATTTACTATTATTTATTTATTTATTTTTTTTTTTTTTTTTTGTATCTTTTGAATGCAAAAAATTATCTCTTTCCTATCTAAATGTTCTTTTAGAAAATTCACCGACACACGCACCCTTAATAGTTCTAATTTTCTATAAAAAATTTTACTAATCGCGCCGTCCCATTGAAAATGATCACGAACACACTATATATCGGGGATCTGCACTCTCTTACACCTCGTCGATACAAATCCAAATATTCCCTTTCGTTTTCTCCCTTCATCACTAGCAACGCGTACTACACTATCCACGTATTGATTATCGCGTCGGATATTAAATATTGGTTATCGCGTTGAATATCAAGTATCGACCATCACGTGAGCATATCTTGCCTTATTATACGTTTTTTAAAAATTTGTTTATTTATGTTGTTGCTTGTTCTATTTATTTATTAATTTGTAAATGTTTCAATTAAGTACGTTGCAGAGTGTACGATGTGTTTTTATAATATACTACGTGAAGTTGTACTCAA